TTACATATGTGGCTACGATCATCATTAGGTAACGTGAAAATCAAAATTCCGGTGATCAATGTCAGGGGAGTGTACATCTAAATAATAACTACACGACTATAGCATTTTTAAAATATACAATATCTTACAATATTCAGATATTGAAATCGTTATTATTATTACTAAACCCGGGTTATGTTTACTGGGCCTTTTTTTTAGGGACCTATCAGGAACGGTATGGCCCTATCAAGAACAGTATGCAGATCGTTTTTTTTTTTATCCGGAATAGTATTTTTGCAGCTTTACCCTCTACCCTCCTAAAAATCACGTGCCAACCGAGACGTCGTTTAATAATTTTGTTTGCTACGCATTCATACCAAAATGTCTGAAAATTTCGAAGGAGTCGCTACAATACTCCCTTCCCACTATAAACTGGACGGTGATAAACTTGAAATAACACTTGTTGATGGCATGTCTGCTACGGCTGAAAATTTCGAAGAACTCGCGAAAATTCTCCCTTCCTATTGTAAATTGGACCTAATCAATAGTAAATTTGCAATAATGCCCGTTAACTCTCGAATTGGTATGTTTTTTTTGATATCATAAGTTAGAATGTCAGTAAACGTTCGTGCTAAACTAAAACAAAAAAAATAGGGCAAAAAGAAGCTAAACTAATATATGAAGTTACCGGTTGGTGCCTAAGTAATCCTGACCTGGTTGGACTATATGGCAGTAGCCAGGTATGTTTTGCAAATTATCTTGTAAATATTTTCTTTAAGCCTTGTTCTAATTTCATATTCTTTAAAATATTTATATTAAACTATAGACGGGTTTTTATTTACCATTACCAACTGAAACTATTCTATGTCCGGGTGCCTCTGTTGTCTTAGCAAGAAGGTTTCTGATCATTATACCGTAAATGGTTTACATGTCTGCGTTATTTTTAAACTTTATTATTGCAGTTGGAATAGATTGTCACCAAACGACCAAAACGAGGCGTATCCGCCGATCGCTCCAAATTTTGTTGCAGAGATACGTTCAAATAGAGATACTGCAGAAGCTGTTCACGAAAAAATGTGTTTGTATATGGATGCGGGGGTTGAAGTAAGTGATTGGTTACGATTTTGTTTGTTAATTATGTCTGATATAATTACTAGATGTTATATTTATCTAGGAGGCTTTTTCTATCGATCCAATTAATGGAACAGCAAGAATTTATAGAGTTCAACGTGATAATATCACTTGGTCGGAGTACACAAATCCACCTAACTTGCAATCATGTGTTCTTAATGGATTTGTACTAAACTTGCAAGGAATTCTCTGAATAGTTTTAATATGTATACAAAAATGCAATGCTAATCATACTATGAGCGCGAAATTTCATTTTAAATAATTTTAGCATTTTCGGCCATTGCTAAATAAACTAGCGAATGTTTAAATCGAGTTTTTTTTTTTTTGCTACAGTGCAGGACATCATAAACCAGCATCTTTTTATATGTATTTTATAAAAATTGATATAATTTAAAAACTAAAAAATTTTTTTAAAAAAATTTTTAGCCAATTTGTAGCTTTAAGTCTAAGCTACAAATTGGCTAGAAAAGAATTTTACTTTATTTTAATTTTAAGA